CGATGATTTCTAGTAGAGAAAATTGCACGATTCCTTGTCTCTGGCGTGCAACCCCCCTTGAAGAAAGAGCGAAAGCATATGGGGCAAATCTCTTATGCAGGAAAAGAAGCAGGAGAGGGAGCCTACGACATTGAACGCCTGCAAGGAAGGAAGCAGATGAGGGAGCCTACGAGAGTGAAACCTGCAGCGAAGATTCCAGAGAGGGTGGTGGCTGTGATCCAGCTGGGAGAGGGAGCAGGGAGTTGGGGATGGCCTATAAGTTGGCTGGCGGTTGTAGGAAGGACTCCGGTGGTTGCATAAAGATCTTGGGTTTGGTCCCTAGCTATGATAACAGTGCGACTTTTAGGAGGAAAAAAAAGTTACTTTTCCATCAGGAAAATAACATATACACACAAATACACATACACACATCTCAGACTAACCCTCTTACAGTTAGAGGAAAATCCAAATCATCATTGATAGCAAGTAAAGAAATAAAACATTATAATTGATAATTAAGAGAGAATAATTTCTTCCCTCAAATGTAATATTAATGGACCTATAGTTTTCTAAATCATGTGCATGTCAACGCACTTTTACTAGTAAACACAGGATACTTTAGTGAGGAGGGCTTCATGCTTTTAAATCCCATTATCTATCAACTATTGATAGATAACTCGAACTATTTGGCAATTAATATTTCTTTCACTGTTTAGCATGTTAATCCTTTGTCATTTACATTCCGTTTTCTGTGGATCAAATTTTTCAATACCTTGGTGGGACACCTGATCATGGATTGCTTTTTTCAACTTGTTTTTCGCTTCATTATATGGCTTATAGTGATACTGATTGGATTGGTTACCTTGATACCTGATGGTCTATTGTTCTATTGCGGGTTTGTGCATGTTTCTTGATGCTCTATTAATATTATGTAAAAATAAGGTGCAATCTTATATATTGAAACCCTCCATTGAGATAAGATATCAGACAATGTTTGCTGTTTGTTGTGAGATTATTTGGTTTCATGGACTTTTTATATAAATGTGATTTTTCTCACGATAGTCTCTCGCATCTCATGTGGACAATACAAGTGCTATTCAATTTTTTGTTAGTCATGATTATCATGAGCACATCAAATATATTGAAGTGGACTGTTATTTGATTAAGGAAGCCTCAAACATTCATATTGTTTCCTTTCATCATATTTTCAACAACCTTCAGCTTACAAACATCTTTACAAAGCCCATGGCATACCAGCATCATCAGTTTCTTTTGGGAAAATTGATGTTTCTAGATTGCTATCCTCAATTGGTGGAGGGGTAATATTAGCTGGATTTATGATGACACCAATTTCCTAATAATAAGATAATAACTTTTGGAGCTTTGTGTCATGCCAATGTAGTTACTGCTACAGGTTTCCTGTAATTATGTAGCACTGCTGTAATTGTAGGTTACTTATTTTGCTATATTTGATTGATGTAATGGCAGTAATTCATCCTCGTATTATAACTAGTATTTGTGCATATAATGAGAACGTGTGGATGAAAGTAATATGATTTACGGAAATATCCATCTTATTGCATGTTATAAGCTTATTTAACTGTTAAATAAACTTTGTCATTTGCTGTAAGTTAATTTTTGAGGTTAGAGCTGAAATCAAATCAGCTATCGGAAGCAGACATTAATTGGTAATCTTGTTTTTTCCTTTTACTTCTATGTCTTAAGTGTAATTTATGGGTCACTTTGGTTTGCTATGGGACCAAACAAAGAGTCTGTTATTGGTAATCTTGTTTTTTCCTTTTACTTCTATGTCAAGTGTAATTTATGGGTCACTTTGGTTTGCTATGGACCAAACAAAGAGTCTGTGTGGGTCAGTTGCAGCTTATCCAACTTATGCTGATAAGCAGTTTATCCAGATAATCAGCTGATGAACAACTGATTCGAATAAGCTGGTTGGCTGTTTGGTTTGTGCGTTTGGAAAACAGCTGATTTTGGATAAATGACCATTCTGCCCTTGTTTACTTGATACTTTGCAAAGGAACATATGTTTTTTTTTTTGCTTTTGATTTTTATTTAAATGATAGTGAAGGTAGAATGACAAGCATGTAAGACTTTTTAACGTTGAAGAATCCAACCCAATTCCTATCTCACATTAACAAGCATCAAGATCATCTTTCCATCTTCAACAAGAAAACCACAAATAACCAACTTTTTCTCGCTTAAACCAAATAAAAGATAGAAGCAAATGTAAAATTAAGGTTTCTGGCTTAAACCAAAAACCACAAAAGAGCAAAACCAACTGTTTCTAGCTTAAACCAAATACTTGAAAAATCTCCTTGAATCCATTGGCTAGAAAAACAAAAATATTATCGAGGGTTCTGGACCAAAAATCGCAAAGAACCAGAACACCACAAAGAGCCAATCGTAACCTGAAAACACAAAAAACCAGAACACCACAAAGAGCCAACCGTAATCAGAAAATGCAAAGAACCATAACATCACAAAGAGCAAAGCCACAACATTCTCACAGATCAATGGGGGAGGAGAGGGAGGAGAGAAGAGGAGGCGAGGGAGGGAGGGAGTACGATTTTTTTTTACCACAAATCACCTTCTCGATAGCGAGAGGCCTGCGCGTTTGATCGCTAGGGCGACAGTCCAGGGCTAGCGAGGGTAGTGGGGGAAAAGGCAAGATGCGAACGCGATACGCAGGTAAATGCCCACTGTTACTGTTTAGCCTAAACAGTAAAACACCTGTTTTTAAAACGTAGGGGAGAAGCTGGAACCAAACAATATGGCGACGTTTATAAAAATGCCGCCGCACTTTTAAGCTGCCCCAAACGGGCCCAAAGAAAAGACTTTCTGATTTTAGATTTTAGTGGATAAAAAATTCTGGTTGTTGAATGATTGGGACCTGTTTACATATCTAGGATTGTAATCGAGCCGAGTATATCATACTTCGGACTTGGTTTGGTATAATTATAAGTTGTTCATGTTCGGCTTGAGCTTGTGTCGAGTTTTCATATATTGTTCAAGTTTGACTAGTTTAAATTTTTCAATGTTTGAACTTGATTTGTGTATGACAAGTAAACAAGTATTTAAATGAGCTAATAAACGAGCTAAAAATTCAAACGGGTAGATGAATTTTTATATAAAATATTCAATAAAGAATTTTACAAATTTGATTGCCGCTCTAATTTATTGATTATAAAGTTTAAACCCTACAGTATCTTAAATCTCCTTATCCTCTATTTTGCCCTAAATCCCTCACTTAGGGTCTATTTAGTAGAATGATTTGTATAACATTTAAGCATGTTTTAAATAAAATCCTACCAAACAACTAAAATGACAACTTTAGAACCTACATGAACTTAAATCTTGTTTGTCGTCTTTTTTGCCCTAAATTCCCCATTTAGGGGCTGTTTGTTAGCAGGAATTAAGCAGGATCTAACCTATATCCTTCCAAACAACAAAAATGAGAAAATAAAGCCTTAAAGAATCATAAATCCCGTTTCTCCTCTATTTTGCCTTAAATCATAAATATTGTCCGAATAGAAAAGTGACGAATTTAAGCCATACAGGATCTTAAATCTCATTTCTCCTCCTTTGCCTTAAATCTTGGATATAGTAAATAATTTATACGATTTAAAAATGTTGAAACACGTGAAGTGGGGTGTGAGGAAGGATGAGAAATATTAGGATTAATCAAGTAGAACTTAGAAGCAGAGTGAAAATGGAAGATTTACTAGAGACTAGAGTTTTAGAGATCACTGCACGCCTCGATCTCTTTGTTGCTTGCACGCCCTAACGACTCAAGGTTTCGTATGTTTTGGGTAAAACTGGGGGAGGTGATATTGGGAGGGGCCATAGGGAAAGTGAGGTTTGTGGGGTTTAAGGTTAATTTTAGGGGCCATTTCATACATACCACATAAGTCTTATGTATTTTCACATCTAACATCTAAACTTTAATAAAATAAATGTATTAATAGTTATAGATAAATAAAATAAATATATAAATAATAATTAATCTAGAAATATCATTAAAATAATAGTATATTACTATTAAATATTTTATTAAATAAATTCTAGTCAATTAAATTTTATTTAAATAATATATCATAAATGATACAAGCTATCATCGAACTTAATATCGAGTATTTAACAAGTTAGTTGTTGAAAAACAAACGAATTTGTTTGTGAACATAAATGAACAAGTTCGATTGGGTTCATGTTTAGTTCATTTAAGCATCGAGCTTTTAAAAATTGTTTAAGCTTGTCTATTAACTAATTTGAACGAACATGATCGAGTCTTAATCTAGTCAAGTTTGAGGTGTTCATTGAGTGCATAGGTTCATTTACAGTCCTACACATATCAAATAGTTTGAGAAGGGTTTGGCATTCAAACAAGCCTATTAAAAATTTAGATAGTGGTATTAAAAGACTTGATCAATGTCCAGTAGGCGTTGAATTGCTCATGCTGTTTTCAAGTAAATTACTGCCTAATAAAAAAAAGTTTTCTAATCATAACTTGTGGGCTGATCTGGTTCAATATTTCGTACACCTAGATGCAAGACCCATAAAATTTCTTCATTTGATGTTTTCTGAACTAAAATTGACTTGTTAAGTGGCCGACCGCGTAGCTCAATCTTCTTGGACTATTGGATTTTTTGGGCCCCTAGTTTTTCCATTAAAAATAGAATTCCATATATTATGATGTTTTGTAACCTGCGTTATTGAAATGTATGATGTTAATTTAATGCTGCCACCAGAAATCTCATTGATCTGTTTGAATGAAATAGTTGCAAGATTAAATTAAGCAGAGTTATTTATATATTAGTAAGTGATATAAACTTTTTTTATCTCATGAACTAGCAACTTTTAGAATTGATGTTTTCAAAAGAATTCCTTTGTGTTTAACCTGGGATATCTTCACTTCAGATTGAAGTTTATTATCATTTTCTCTGGATATTTAAACTGCTTTCTTGATTTATAATTTCTAAATGTTTCTGAATTTTGAAACTTAGTTTTGTTACTTGAAGCGGCTTGAGGAGTTTGGAGTCCCTGTTCCTAATTATGCTCTTGTAAATAGAGAATTTTCCTACCAAGAGCTGGATTACTTTTTTGAGCATGAAGACTTTGTTGAAGTGCATGGGAAGCGCTTTTGGAAACCTTTTGTGGAGAAGCCTATTGATGGTAACGAGTAGCTTCTATTAATGATTCTATTGGGCTAATATTTTTCTTTTTGATCGTTATCTTTTCATTGTAAAATCCGATTTGAGAAGTGCAATAGCTTTACTATTTTCTCATATATGTACTACACCACTTCTTTGTGTGATGCGGGATTGCTTTTTTGCCTTGCCGGTTCTTCTTTTGTTAGTGTTCTCTGAAGAGATTTTACCAGATGGTTGGGACAAGCACGAGTTCTTCCTGAGGTAGATTGAAGTGAGTGGAAAACACTCCCAGATATTTCAACCTTTTTGAGGGCTTATTTTTTAAATTTGACGTTTCTCATGAGCACTATCTCCTATAGCTTATCAACTTTTTCAAATATGAGAGAACTCTTGATTGGGGGACCATTTGTTTTGCTGAGAAAGTAGTGGAGAGCAGAAGAAATAATGTATTTGAAATATAACATATTTGAAATGTCGTAAAAATTGTTTGGTTTGGCATAAAATAAAGTTTTTGTGTTTAATTTAAAGTAAAATAAATTCATTTAAAAACCCGATGATAGAGGCAACACATGTTGTTTAGCCGTGGTTGTGACGATGGTTGATGACCATTCGTAGAGAGTGATGGTTGGCGGTGATAGCCAGTGGGTAATGGTGACAGTGGCTACTATAAATGATGGCAAGTGGTTGGGTTGGGTGTCTATCAGTGGCGGCAATGATGACAACTTGCGATGAATGATTGAGTTTGGAATACACCACAAATGATAAATGGAGTGATTTTGAAATTTACTAAAATTTTTCTCAGTATTCTTTTTGCTTCAAGTCAAACATCAACATTTTTAAAACCTTTGCATGTAGAATATTTTACACACTTTTAACTTCAAACCAAATGCATTCTAAAAGAGCAAATTAAATGCAGTTTATTCTATTTATTTTGACTTTTTTTTAGTTAGTATTTCTTGATTGAAAAATTGTGGAGAATGACCTCTCATTTGATATAATCAAGAATTAACAAGGATAGAAGCTTATTGGATGATAGCTGCATACACGAAAACTATTTTTTTGCTTAGTTGGATATAAAATTAGAATAAGTTTGTCATGGCCTGGCTTGTGCCTTAAATTTTTCTAAGACGGGAATGAATGATCGGACGGTGAAAATTATATTTTTCTATTTCTATTTTCTACTACACGATCTTATGATTCAAAGAGTAAATGAAAGAGTTATTATGTAAAAGAAATTAAATAAAAATAGTTATAAATTTAGCTTTGATCAGAATGAAACTTGACAAATGAATTCATAAAAACAGTTACGAATTTACCTTTGATCAGAATGAAACTTGACAAATGAATTCATAAGTAGCAGTAACTATCAACACAACTGATTAAGAAGAAACAAAAATGCTACTACTAATCAAAAGTAAGAGTACTCACTTTAATGTCGATTGATTTGTTCTTTGATTTTTCATAATGGCAAAAAAAGCTTGTTTGAGAGAGATTTGTTAAGTTTCATTTTGTTCAAATGTAAATTTATAACTATTTTAATTTAGTTTCTTTTACATATCGGCTCTTTCATGTACACTTTAAATCAGAAATTGATAACGGTATAAAATAGAAATTGAAAAATTCAATTTCACTATTCAACAACCCGTTTGTCTTGGAAAATTCGAAGCCCCGGACGGGGTCTTGACAAAGCTATTCAAATAAAATGAAATAATAAGATCACCTCTTGAAACATTAGTAATTTGCATAAAGATTAATCAAACTACTCAAATAATTTTTCTGGGTATTAGCACATCTGAGTCTCTTTTCAAAACTCAGATAACTCTACTTATGATAAAAATAATTAACAACAATTATAAGTTCACGAAGGACCCATAGAGCTTTAATTTCAATTGCTAAATAAATATGGGTGAATTTGGAAAAGCGAATGCAACATAAATGGTAAAATGCGACCAACTAAACATTCTGAATTTAGAAAATTAAATGTAACATAAATGATGAAATGCGGCCAACTAAACATTCTAAATTAGCCTGCAGCATCCCAATTTCTTATAGGCCAATTACAAGGAGTCAATAAGCCACATTATGGCTGAATCCAACCCCTTTTCCAATCTTTTGTAAGCTAATATTCATTTTTTCTGAAATTTTAATAAAATATATTTATTTATTATTATTAGGTTCAGTATTTTTTGGATTACATCAGGCTTGAATTTAAATGCTTCATCTAATTAGATTTAAATAAAATTTGCGGTTTGTATTCATTATTGACTATTGATGATTGATTGAATTAAAATTATCCATGAGAATAATGATGGTTATGCACGTGGATTGCCCTAAGTATTGCCACAAAAGCTTTTCCACTAGACCACTACTCATCAATTTCCAAGGTTTTTCTGCAAACCCTTGCATGTCAGTCCTTGTTTCACTCATTGTTTTGTAAGCCTAACTTCCTCCCTCTTGTTAAAAATTTTCAAAAAATACATCTCGCCCACATCCAACTCCAATATTGCTTGTTAACACGTACTTGCAATGCTAGCACGTTGCTTTTTTTGTGTCACTTGTCATTCTTACTTTGACTGCTACTTGCTTTCAAATCTTCTGCCACTTATCATTTGTGCACATCTTCGAAATTCTTAGTCTCCGTGTTGACAAGCTTTGATGGATCTTTTCATCCTCTTTTAGGGAAATTTGAGAGTGCAATTGCTTCTCTAATCACTTTTAGCCCTTTGATATTTATAGAGTGACCGTTTTTGTCGCTCGACACTGCTAGTCGTGCCATCTCTCTCGCTTGCAAGTTGCAACTACTAATGACTATTGTAGCTACCATCAAACTTTTTTATATAAAAATCTTCTTGATACCGTAGTTAACCTAAAAACAACAGAAAATCAAATATTATTGTTGAATTCAAAATAGAGAAATACAATCTCCCAAGCGGAAATAGAAAAAAACAATAGACACGACTCATAAACTCAAGTTGGGGTCCATTTCTGGGATGGTGGTGGTCGGCTAAGTGGATTGCGAAGGGTGGTAGGTGGATGTAATGGTTGGAGGTGGCGGTTGCAGTAAATAGGTGCTTTTGGAGCGTTGTTTGGGGACATCAATGACTGTAGGGAGGCTGGGAGAGCCCGGAGGACAGCAGGTTGGTTGTTCTGGGTGACAACAACAAGGGGGAAGTCGATTGTGGCAAGGGATAGCAAGGTGGAGGTCTGGGGCAGCGGTGACAGCAGGTATTTAGGGTTGGAATAACAGCGAAAGCAAAAGGGGAGGGCTGTAACAGCGAGGACAGTGAGGATGGATGGCTGGAACGGCGATGGGGGATGCAGATTGCCTGATAGCAAAAATAAGGCTGCCCTGGGCAGTGATAGGAAGGAAAATGTCTGGACAACATTTGTCGCGAAGATAGCAGCTGGAATTGTTGGAAAACTGTAGGAAAACAACCATGAGCGACTATTATGGGCAACTGCATTGATGCTGGGAGACCAAGAATGACACGTGGAGGATGCAGAAGGGGATAATGAATATAATCACCACTTGGAGAGCAAGATACAACCGAAACACCACATGAAATGTTAGTATACAGTCTTCAAAGGGAAAAAAGAGACGTCGACAGCTGTCCCGATACAAAACACACAAAAACTGTCATAAATCACATCTTCAAAGGGAAAAAAGAGACGTCGACAGCTGTCCTGATACAAAACACACAAAAACTGTCATAAATCACAAATATAACAGAAATATAGTGCTAGGTAAATGAGGGGGACCCCACTTCTGTTGGGCGGCATGCCCTATGCCCAAAGGAGGTCCTGTTCTCCCTTGTTGTCTCTCCGCTAAACCGGTCCAACTATCCTATCTTTCACGTGCTTGGTTCAGCCAGTAAGAAGTTCACTTCAGTCTTCCAGGGTTGGGGGAGCTTCGACCTCATATATGAAAGATTTTACTTCCTTATAGTATAGAATTGAATCAGACACATTGAGATTAGCAGAGCTGCTGTAATTCACGTGGTTTGGAGGGACTTTGACTCCGTTGATACAAGCACCAAGATTCTACATGCGACTGCATTGTCCCCTAAAATACTTGAAAATTTTTCACTTGTTTTAACCTTATAGGGATACATTACTGAAGTGGAAATTCATGTCATGTATATTCTGTTGAATCCTCTCAAAATAATTCATTGTTGTTTCAACATGATCTAAAGTGAGGACAACTTGAAACTCACTTAATGGTGGTGACCATTGCTGTAAGCTATTGAACAAGATGTCCCAAAACTCTCTCTATAATGACTGCCCCATATTTGGAATTAGTGCCTATCACACTATCCTCTATCATCACCAAAATTGTTCTCTCTTGCACTTCTCCTCTCGTAAGGGCACCTGCAACCTCAATCACTGCAAAAGGTAAGTGAAGGATGTGTTTTCCGTGTTTGGTGAATGAGTAGGTATTTCTGTACTGCAGTCAAACTGCTAGTCTCCCCATTAGGATGTGGCAGGCTTCCATGGGCACCACGTCGTACCACACTTGATCTTGTAGCTGGTTTCTAACCAAAAACTCTAAGAGACACCTTCTATCATCTGCAACCTCAATCACTGCAAAAGGTAAGTGAAGGATGTGTTTTCCGTCTTTGGTGAATGAGTAGGTATTTCTGTACTGCAGTCAAACTGCTAGTCTCCCCATTAGGATGTGGCAGGCTTCCATGGGCATCACGTCGTACCACACTTGATCTTGTAGCTGGTTCCTAACCAAAAACTCTAAGAGACACCTTCTATCATTGTCGGCTCTATTCTTCTTCAACCAAGTCAGAGAATATGATTGTGAATGCCTCTGAGTAGTGAGGCTTAACTTATCCACCATTTGTGTATACACCTTTTTGTTGCTACCTCCATCAATGATGAGGCCGCATATCTTCCCCTTCACAGTGCAATGAGTGTAGAATATGTTGCGGTGAAGCCACTGCTGCTTCCTGTAACCTCGATCTGAAGGTTCTGTCGAACCACAAGCATCTCACCTTCATTCGGTGGAAGTTGGTATTCCTCACTATGCTTTTTAGCTGCCTCTTCCTTACTTGGTGAAGGACAAAACTCTGCTAGTTGGGCAACTATATCACGAGCGGACCCGAGACTTGAAATTAACTAAGACAGCAACAGACGGATGGGCGGTGAAAGTAAATTCTCTGCTATCTTATTTATATTACTAATAGTTTAATATTAAAAAATCATGAAAGAACCACTAAAAAAAATAATTAAATTAACAAGTAGAAATGTGTATCTTTCTGGTTGCTGTTCTTGCATCTTATACACATTTGATCTTCTATTCATTTCATTCAAAATTCAAAACCTAAAACAATATTAAGTAAACATAGTGAATTAATCTTAAGATGATACAATAGTAATCACACTTCTAAACTACAGTAACCTAAGGAAAAATATTTCAATATGCATGCTGGTATTTCATATCTCTACAAGAAATCTTAAAATATGCTAATCTTTCATATTTCTATAAGAAATCTTATATATGCTAATGCATGCATCAATTAACTTTTCTAAATGAAAAATATTCAAGCTTTCTATATGCATTTATTTATCTTTGCTTTTACTTTATACTCTTTATATGCACATCTGACTTTGTGAGGATTTCCGTCAACAAAACCTAACACACCCTTAGCCGTGTTGCCCCACCGGCTCCCGTCGACACAACGGTTATCGATGTAAAGATCACAATTGTTTAGGGTGGAAAGACTCTTACCTGCCTCATGACCGATTTTATCCAGTCGACTCAACGATTAGAAATGAAACATCAATATTAACTGGATAGGTAACTTTTGGTCTATTCGTTCTTAAGCCGATATTATTCCGTCGACACATCACAAATGTATGGGGTGGTGGAATAACTCTATGCGCACAGGTACACTAGCGTCTCCTGCCTGTGCCATTAGGGGGTGAACTTCTTTGAACACAGGTATAAGCATTCATATATAAGCTATTTCATTCTTCTTAGCATACATTATTTGGAGACATCTTTATACATATACTAATGTGCATATTTATTCTATTATGCAGCTATTCATCATACATACCTCTTATATCATGCATGTCTCTCATATTAAGCATCTCTTATCTCATCATATCTCTTATATCGTGCATATCTCATATATTATCTCATCATATCTCTTATATCGTGCATATCTCTTATATCATTCATATCTTTTATCTCATACATATCTCTTATATCATGCATATGTTTCCTATCGTGCCTATCTGAAGCAGCATGCATCTTAGACATCTCATGCATATCATTTATATCTTTTCTATCATGCATATATTTTCTACCTAACAATATGAAGAATCTGCAATAATATAATTTAACCGAAGTAAAACAAACATATAAATCAACATTACATTTTGAAATAAAGGAGACTATATTGCTAGAGTCCATTCCTCAATCTCGTCGGTGTTTTCCTAGCTAGCTCTAATCGCGACTAGATCGCCATAGTCACGCTGCAATCACGTTGGTGCTTCCCGACTAGCTCTAATCGCGACTGGATTGCTAGAGTCACGCTGCAATCCCATTAGTGCCTTCCCAGCTAGCTCTAAGCGTGACTGGATCGCCAGAGTCATGCCGCAGTCCCTTCGTTGCTTTCCCAGTTAACTCTAATCGCTACTAATTCGCCAGGACGAAGCATAAGAAAGAGAAAAGTGGGAGTTTCGGGCCTCTGTATGCTGATCCCAACTCACACAGAAAGACAACTAGGTTTAGCTCTGATATCATAAAGAAGAAATTGCACTTGAAAACTTACACATTTCTGTAATGACTTGGGCTTATATAGAGCCTTACAACATTTACAAATAAATCCCAGGACTTCTTCAATTTTCAAATAGGACTCTATATTAGATACAAATCTCATTAGTGCCAAAATAAGATTCCTATTTATTCTATTAGGACAATCATTGAAAAGAAATGTGTTTTAGAGTTGCATGGAATAGACATGAGCATAGATTTTGTAGTGGACAACATCAGACATAACAAGGCGATAACTTTATTATGATGGGGGTAGATTAATTCTAGAAGCTTCCAGAGAAAAGGGCGAAGCCCCTCCTAGCTGAGGAGAATGACACGGGAGCATCTCAGACTGGATCCATGGCCCCGTTTTTGCGAGATCTTGTAACTTGGCGGGTTCTGCCGATTACGCGTTCCCATATCCGTGGAAGGATCACAGAAAACTTGCGATTGAAGGAATTGGCATAGGGACCGTCGATCTTCAAATTCTGCATATTTATTTTTTTTCTTTTCTGATTTTCGTTCCTATTTATCTATTTCTAATTAGATTTTTCTGTAAGAGAACTATATATATGTTGTTATTTTGCTGTTTAGGGGAATTATGACCTTTTAATATTTTAAGGCGATGTTTTCTTCTGGTCTTATCTATCAGGGTGTTGTATCATTCGATTTCTTTTAGGTGGTGTGTCTGTAACCTGAAGGATTTCTGTGGTGGTCTCTTACGGACGTTCGGAGATCTCACTCGTCACCTAATTTGCTGCCTACTGCCGTTTGACAGCAGAAAACAGCTGTTTTCTGCTTCTGATTCGCTGTCTTCCCTCTCTTAACTCTAGAATTAAGTCGCCATCCTATCTTACACTTCTTTGCTCATCTTATAACATACTTATTCCCTTTCTTCTGCTCTTTCACATCTTCTAGGAGCTCTGCAATGGTATCAAATTGTGTGTTATGGATGTAAAATTTTTTTCCTACCATTTTTTTGTCACCAATAATTTCTCATTACTGTACTATCTAAAACTTAGTTGGGTTGCCGACTTTTATAATATGGGGACATGTCGCTGGCTCGTGATTAGTGACACTTCACAAAGATTGATTTCTTAACACTACAGATCATTTATTAGTATAATATCTGGATGGTTATTCTATCACTTTGATGAATCATTGATCCTAGAGGCATCATCTTAATTAGGCAGCTCTTCAATTTTGATTATTTCATGTGTCGGCATATGATGGGCTGCGCTTGATTTAGGGTGTAATTGATTGCAAACAGACCTGTTTCAATTGAAAGTTTTTATATGTAGCCTTAATTCAATTTTTCCAGAGCCGCACATCCTGTTGAACTTCACCAGCAAATCCACAACCTTTAGGGAACAACATAGCCAACGTCCATTTTAGAAACAATTGAATGCTCACTTGGGAAACAATCACAACTTAGGAAAACCCCCGTTGAAACCCAAATAATTAATCCGATGAACCAACACAACTCAGTGTTATTAGTCGGTGAACCAATAATGAATCAAAGGCGAAGCAAATCAAATCTTTTAATTTAAAATAGGAAGCGGTTTTCCATTAATAGCTATGCATAGATCATAAAGTCAACATCAGATAAATCAAATGACGTTATCCATAATATCACACTCCACAATCCAATTGAAACAGCCCATAGTTAAAAACAAATAAAACCATAGCCAAGCAACTCAAATCATGGACTTAAATCTTCAAAAATTTGCCCATTAACGGCAACTCAGCAAACTTGGCTTAACTGCAAACAGAGCCAAATAAATATGTCGATTTACATCAACAGCCTTTTGCAGAAGTGGAGCTTCTCAAGGTGGGGTTAGAAAACAGGTTGGATCACTGAGCTGTTTAACACTTGCGCCATGTTGTGCCATGTTGTGCCATGTAGGGCCATTTCTGTAACAATTTTAACTTCCAAAATAAAAGTTGATTTATAAGTTAATATGTTTTTTTTAAATATTTATGTAATTGCTTTCTCCTTTGATTATGTTTTCCTGTAAACTAATTATTGACATCATATTTTGAAAGGGGATAACCATAGCATCATGATATATTATCCTAGTTCTGCTGGTGGTGGGATGAAAGAATTGTTTAGAAAGGTGAGTTACTGATTTTTATTTTATGTGATTTTTGGAGCTTTCATTTTACTAAACTTTGGAAGCTGCTTTAGTCATAATTCATGATTATACAAGCATCAGTATTTTAGGATTTTGCCAGTTATCATGATGAAATTTGAGTTGATATAATATTTAAGATAGTTATTTTTGTGGATTTTTTGTTTTGTACCTGTTTTGGAGGGTTCATCCATGAAGTTTTCCGAGTAATATGAAAAATCTAAGCATGTTTGGTATGATAGGAGGTTTCTTTAGCCAAAGATTATTGTGGCTGCCTATTTTAGATTGGTTTAAATTCCTGGGCATGATATTGACAGTAGAGATTCATAAAAGCTCTAATATATGAATTCTTATATTGCCTTGTCCTGAGTGGTGGGTGGCACATCCTAATAATTTGAAACATGACCAAACAACTCCAGGGGTTAAGACTAAATAAGACAGTTTGGTATAGCATTGAAAAAAATTTCCTAAATAATAATAATATGAAGACTGAAAAGCATTTTTCTTATGTTAAAGCATTGATTTTATAATAGTCTAATACTATAAAATTAATACATCTCACTAATGAAAGCAGTGGAAATGAACTACAGATGAAAAATGATACAAGATCTAGCAACTTTCTGAACAAATCAATTACTTCAGATATAAGTAATATCCATAACCAAATAAAATATACTGCTTTTGTGGCTGCTTCAATAGTGCTTGTTAGTATGAGTTTGCTTAGCAAACTCAATAGGTAACTTCTATTTAATTAGGCATGAACAATGATTTTATCAAAATCATGCAAATATATTTTGTTGTATGTTTTTCAATGCACCGTTTTTCTGATTTGTTGCCTGCACTTTTTCTTGTGTTTGCGTTCATATTGATGATGAATTTATCAAAGTTTGTGCAATTTTTCTTCATCTGCAGACTATTTCTTCATCTGCAGACTATTTGTAATTTTTTTTTTTCTTTTCCGTGTTTCTGAACATATATTTAAGCATGCAAATGAACTAATATATTCAATAAGCTACTCATGTCTTAGTTCAATTAGAGCTCTTTCATGATTGTTTAACTAACTAATCAAATAAATTTTAGCATTTTTGCAAATGATTGATTGATTATGAATGAGCTTGAATCGCTTGTTTTTCAATTTGTTTATGATCATGAATAATATCTTTTAAAATTTATCAACAAGCTTGATTAGGGCTCAATTTGTTTTAAGACTTGATTATAAATTTATTTAATATGTGATTATGGGTGTTTTGTTCTTTTTAATATTAGATTACTTTTGTTATAAACAGAAGACTCTTATTTATTCTCTATAATAACATTTTTTTAATTCATTGTTCAATTAAGTCTTGTCTCATTTTTAAGCATAATAGCTCCACATTCATAGGCACAATAGAGCTTATTTAGTTAACTAGCAAGCTGCTCAATAGTGTTGGCCGTTCTTAAGCTTGATAATACTGATGAGCCACAAAAACCAAGCACACAAATTGAGCCTGAACACTACTAAAATACTCAGTTCAAGATCGATCACGAGCTTGAATAAGATTTTGGTAAGCTAGCTTAAGCTCTAGCAAGCCTCTACTCAGCTTAGCTCTGTTTATTTGCAGTCCTATTTATATTCGTATATATCTTTCAACAATTTTCTCGACCTTTTTTTGGTTCAAGATATTAGGTGAGTTTTGACAATGCTTCTTTGGTGCCTTTTTAAAGGGGCTGCAGAAGTAGGCTATCTTGCATGCTAATAAAGTTATTTTTGGTGGAGTACGCAGTGTACCACACACTATAAAAACCATCAACCACACTAATAAGTGTGCTTAGGTGCATTTTATGTGAGTGTGCATAAAATCACATAATATTTCCTAAAAATGCGCTCTCTATATTGTTAAAATGAATTTTATAAAAGTCATTCTGCCTCCTCAATAAAGTTGCCTGGGCAAATTTTGTGTAAACTAAATTCACACTACCTATAATGTTAAAATATTGTTTTTCTTAATTTGACAAATTTTTTTTTTCTTTCCACACTTATGCTTATTCTCATGTTTTTTCTTTCTTTCTTGTCCCATCATTATTTTTTTATGCACGTGTTGGATGAGTTTTAAAAATATCTTCTATGTTGTTCTTGTGACGGGATAGTGAAATTAGACCAGCTTTACCACACCTTGTAGCACATAATGGGTTGCACATTCATAGGCTTTAACCAATACTATATTATAATAGAATAGGTTGTACACATGGAGCTTAAAAGCTCCACCCTATGTTTTGCTTGTCGCTACAAGATGCTTGCAAGCAAATGTAAGGAATCTACTATTGAGAGAAGGAGATGGAGAGTTGGAGGGAGGAGGACTGCAGAGCTAGTTGTGAGAATTTGTGCTGGAGGGAAAAAGGGTAAGGAGAGGAAAGTTTCTTTTGTAAAAGAATATAATTATTTTTATATTCTTTTGGTGGGAGGAGGTGGTTTTCCCTGCATTGAGATTTTAAAGGATATTGATGCCAAACTTGCAAGCTAAAATGCAAATTAATGTGAAAGAAAATGTAAGCAAAGAATTTCAAAATGAAATTAAACTGAACTGAAGAATTATGGGATTGAAACTGTTAATAATTCCTAACCCTAGAAGGATAGAACCCGAGGAGATGTGTTACCGGAGTTAACCCAAATGACAACGTAAATGCAACTTTTATTACTGAAAGCAAATAGAGATTACAATCGAAGACACTTGGAACTAGGAAATAACAAAAGACACAACGAAAACTCAACTAGGGCTTAATTCGAGGGTGGTGGTGCTGCGGTTTAAGGAGAAATAGTAAGTATAGAGGGATTGAGGGTCGAGAGGCAGCAATGGAAGGCAGTGGTTGTAGCAAGGAGGTCGACTGGTGGTTGGAAGGTGCGCGACAACAAGATTGTGGCAGTGGTTGCTGCAGGAAGGTTGTGGTAGAGTGATGGAAGGAGTGTGGAAGGCTCAGGGTGGCAAAGGACGGTGACTGGAAGGGATGGTGGCAGATGGGTGGTGGCTAGAAGGGGCGGAAGCAAGCGGGAGGTGGTTGGAAGGGATGTGAGGCTGAAGGAAAAAAAGAAAGAGGCTTTTTTCTGGGTAGAAGGAGCAAATGCGACTACAACGACAGTGAGTAGAGGCTGTAGGAAGTAGGGAATGACAGATAAGCACCACTTTAGGATGAGTTACAGTTGGAGTACCTTCTCGCCTTTAGATACAACATTGAAAGGGAAAATTTGAACTCCAATGATTGTCCGGGCAAAAACTAAATCAAAACCTAACCCTAAACTCCAAGAAAACAACATATATAGTATTAGCTAATAAGAGGGCTCAACTCATGGAGGTAGCCCTAAACCTCTAAGACATCTATTTGGCCCCTCATTTTCTCCTAGTTGAATCGGTTCAAGCATCACCGGTCCTTGAAAGGACAAGCATCACCGATCCGTGAAAGGACAAGGTTTTGTGTCCCGCATACCCGTGGGAGACGCTCCGCATCAGTCTCTCGGAGTTGGAGCTTCAACATGATTTTTCAAAGCTTTTGTCTGCTTATTGAATGTAACATCGCTATTGTAACCACCCAGGGCTGAAGGATCTTTGATTGCAGCTGTAGAAGCACTTGAATCCCATTGTCGACTGTATTGTCCCCCCAAAAAGCAACCATTGATATCGGCCAAATCAAATGAGAGTACACTGCTGAACTGAACTAGAACTTCGTGCCAAATGTGCCTTGTAGAGTCTTCCAAAGATAGCCTCAGGTTGGTTCATCCCTATCTGATTTGACAATAGACTGCACTTCTTCTAACGGAGACGACCATGTATAGATTATGATGTCCTGAAATACTCCATGTAGTGATTGTCCCGTGTCTGCACTCAGTGCCTCAGTCCAGTTATCCTCTATCGTCACCAAAACATATTCCGTTGGCGTTGCTCCGCTGGCAAGGGCATCTGTAACCTCAGACTTCACTGAAGATATAATAACTATGCCCTTGCCATCCTTGATGAAGGAATGTATAACCTGTCATGTCGAGTCCAACGATCAAACTGTCGTGGTCTCCCCAACAATAGGTGACGGGAATTCATGGGCACCATGTCACACCAAACACGATTTTACTGCTGACTCCCAATCAAAAACACTGCGTGACACCTCATGTCAATGGTGTCTCTATTCTTTTTCCTCAACCATATCAAGGAGTATTTCTGGGAGTGTCTCTAAGTCGTGAAACTCAACTTCTACCATATGTGTAGACGTCACATTCTTGTTGCTCCCTCCATCGATGACGGGACTACATAAATTTCTCTTTACATTGCAACGGATGTAGAATATGTTGTGGTGAAGCCACTGCCGATCTCTCGCAACGTTAATTTGTAGGACTTGTCAGACCATGAGCATCTCGCCTTTATCTGGTTGAAGGTGGTATCCTTACCCTTTTATTTAGCTGTCTCTTCGTTGCCAATTTTCTCTACGACACTTTTCTCGGTGAAGGACAGAACTCGACTGGTCAGGCAATTAGAAGTGATGTGTCCACAGCCATGACATCTGAAGCATTTTCTGGCTAGGACTCTACTGTGGGTTTTGCTCTTCACAGACTTTTTATCACTCTGGGCAGCTTATCATCCTCTTGACTAGATTTCTCAACTGCCTTAGATATTCTCCTACTGATGTCTCCAAATATTGGCGGTTGCCTGAATGGCCATGAGTGCCTACTCTGCTTTTGATTTCTCTCCTCTTTCATCATTAAGGATTGAGTATAATTCAAAGACTAGTAAGGCTATAGGTAAACCACATTGCCAATGGCAAGCTTTAGGCCTCTCTAGCATCGAGCTATCACGTATCCTATGACTTGGTCAAATCACATTTTAGCTTGAGCTGCATAAACTCTGCTGTGTGCTCCTTCACTGATAAGTCCCTCTGCTGTATGTAGTTGAGCCTCAAGAAAAGATCCCGATAGTAGTGTGGGGATAGGTACTATCGCTACAACTCATTATTCATCTTCTCACATG